AGATAGATAGATAGATAGATAGATAGATAGATAGATAGATAGATAGATAGATAGATAGATAGATAGATAGATAGATAGATAGATAGATATTATAGGTTATGTAAAAGAGAAATAAATAATCAAATTTAGCAAACCACCCTTTTACAGAACAGTTCATGAACAGCTGATCCTACATTTTATAGATATATAAATACATATTCTATAAATACATAGATATATATATATACAAGTAAGATGTAAGGCCTTTTTGTATTTCCTGAGTGCAGCTTTAAGATTAGAGAGGTTTAAAAAAAAAAACTAGTAGTACGTCCACTAAATATTTAGCGATATAATTCTTATTTTTACGTCGTCTTTCTTTACTGGAACTTCAGCTGTAGTTGTAAATTTGTCTGTAAATCTACGTCTGTTTCTTTAGGTTTATATTCCAGGGCACAGAACAGAAACTAGAAAGCAACAGAGCGAACTCTTCCAATGTTAAATCTTCTGCTTTGCAACCATGGGTCAACCGGGGGGAAAAAAATGATATATATTTTTTAAAATTGTTAGTTGTAATAAAAAGAATCTCTCTTGCTCTTATCTCAGCTACAACTATCCTCTCTAAAGAAAGGCCCTAAAAGCGCATTCCTGCTTACTTATCAGTACATCTGAAACAAAGACACTGATAAGAACTCAAACTGATGTTTTAAACATTACCTTACCAGCTGATGGTTTCAAAGAAAAGTGTGGTGGTTCAAAGGTTAATACAGCAACATGTTTATTGCTCCCCCTTGTGGCTAAAAGTCCGATATTACAGGCTGGTGTTTCTTGGTCGGATGATGCAGCCGCAGACGACAGACGTCATAGGCCTATGCCTACATAAAGACTAAAAATTAGCAAATAATTAAAAATAAAAACAAATAAAAACAGATTTTATGTAGGGACATAATGTAGGGAGTTTGCATTGGCAACACAATTCCTCCAATGTTTGTGTTCCGACGCATACGTTATGCAGACCACTTTGTCAGAGATGGGCCAGTAGGAAGTATTGGTAGTGGAAATAAATCAAGATGGGTGCAAGAAATAGACTTCCTGATTTTTCTGAAGCACTTTGCAAACCACACCAAGGTCAGCCATGAAAAAAAAGTAATTGGACATCATGGACATCGCAGTGGAATTGCGATGCTGGTGCACAACTTTTTTCAGCTTCACTGTATTGTTCAACCGTTGGTGCAAGAGTTGTAGGTTACAATGCCCACTGAGCCAATGAGGCCAAACTCAAGAAAGACCAACCAAAATTTATGAGATATTCAGTTTCTGAAAATTCCATAATTAGTCTTTTTTTGGGGGTTGGAATATGTTCAAAAGTTAGATTTCTGCAGTCACACACACACACATAGCTACGTAAATAGTTCTAAGTGCATGATTGTGTTGAATAAAAAAGATTACATGTTAAAATTTTGTCAGTATCCTTATTTCATTGTGTTACATTTCACCCCAGGATATGTTACAACTAACCCAGACTATGGGGTTAATTGTAACATTTCACTCTTTGTGTTTGAGACCATACCATGCAATGGGTAACTGTGCTGCAGAGAAAATACTGCACTATTTAATAGCAGAGACATGTAAATACTTTGCATTACATTTTAAATCCACTACCTTAAAAGAGCTCCAAGCTACAGACAGAAATGTCAAAAATGTTACAACAATCCCCGGTCTCCCCTAAACTCCAACTTTTAAAAGTTTGGATTAAAAGCAATTACAAAGTTTCTTCCAGTTTTTGCATCCATGTTGTACTCTATAAACTAGGAGTATTGTTTTGTCGCTAGTCAAAACGTCTGGGTTAATTGCAGTGAAAAGCATGTAACAAATCTCCAAGGGCTCCCAACAGGTGACCGTTGGAGGCCCCTGTAGTGTGCCAGCATGGAGTAGGCAAATAAAAGAATAATATAAAGTATTTCTGACAGATTGAACAAAATTTACCAGGCCACATTTGAACACCAGGTAGTGCTTTTTCTATTGTCGAAGCCACAGACTACAAACTATAAGTCCCTGCTAGTGTGTTATGGCGATAACTGCGGGAGCTATCCAGGGTACTCAGGATTTCATTATCATTATAAGCACCAGAGATTTAAATGATTCTTTCGGGAGCTGAGTTTATTGAACACTGGCAGCATGTGGGTGGAAGTTGTGGGCAAGAGAAGTGTACCCGTTCTTTAACAACTGCATATAATTAGTAGATATCAGAGAGAAGGATATATATTTTTTGTCGCATAAACTCTTCCTAATCTGAGACTGAATCTGTGAGGCTTCATTTATTCCTTTAAGCCCACACTACTGTGGCGACTCATTCTCCATCTAGAACTTATCTTCTGAGAGTGGAGGCATTATCAGGATATGCATCTATGTAACTGTACTGTACTTAAGTCTACTTTGTATAGTGCTTGAAGATGTTGGCAGGTGGAAATGGGCTCAGTTTGAACTGCGGGGAACCACCACTTTGCGGGGGTTTCCGTTTGCATGCCAAAAAAGTGATGTCTAATGTTTCCTTTTGCTGGTACACAAGCTGTAGTAAACAAGATTGACGAAGGTGTGCAAGATATGACTTGTTTTTAAGTATCTTTATGACATCGTCGTACCCACTCAGTGTTCTACATTATAATCAGATTAGCCACTTAAAAGATTTTTGCAGAACAGACTGTGTTACATCCCCACGATGAAGGTCTAGGGGTGTGTGTGGGGACTGGTAACAAATGGGTCCAGAACAGAATGAAAGGAGAACAGACAGAGGTGTTTAGTAAATAAAATAGTTTTTATTATAGATAAACTTAACATAAAGAGCCAGCAACGCCGTTTTACCAATAACACTAGAAAAAGAAAAAGGTTGCAACAACAAAGAACACAACAACCAAACAAAAAACTCCACACCACGAGGAGGCACTTCCAGGGGCCCACAAGCTCACCCTGTCACTAGCAGCAGCTAGCTTTACTGCTGCCAAGGCCCACAAGCCCACACTACTCATATGTAGCAGCTACACTGCACACTTCTTCCACAACTCCACACCAAAGACAGGACAATCACACACCTAGAACACAAAGCGGAGACACCAGAGAAAACCACCCTCCTACATCCAGTTCATCCCCAGCTTATATGACCTCAGAGAGGCCATTGCTGACTGGGCCCAGATGGTAAATGAGGCCAATGAGCAGCAGCTGTGTCCTGAGGAGAGGAGCAAGAGAGGAAGAGAAGGAGAGAAAACACCACAACCACACAAGGGCAGTTTCAGGAGGCCCAGCTAGGGCCGTAACAGACTGTGTTGTGTTTGTTGCTGTTTCTGCTGCCCTCTGAGACTGATCTTGAAAAAGACATTTTTAATGTAAACGAGACTTGCTCAAAAGTGCAGCTTCTGACAGGAATGTTCTTTCTGCTTGAAGAGGACTTTATATCATAAGTGTTTGACCAATTAAATGCCAACAAGAAATTTACAACAGCTTAAATACAGGAAGCCACTTTTTGGCATACTTTAGGTTTGAACACAATGTGTACCAACTAAAAAAGTGCTGTAGAATGCTAAAAAGTTCAGGCGAAGTTAATATAAATGATAATAAATACAATTTTTTCAGAAATATTATGAACAAACATAACTGAGTATTGTGAAATGTTAAGTTGGCCTTTTGAACAAAGGAGATAAAATATTTTATTTATGGATCACCGAGATGAAAGGTTATGGCAGCAAGCCCCAAACAGCAAAAGCTACAAACTTGACCAAAAGGTAAGGATCCATTTCTATTTTTTTTTAACACAAAATATAAAATTATTCTTGTGATTAGGCCTATCTTATCGATTCCACAAAGTAAGTAAGTAAGTTCAAAAACGTCACTTAACCCATGTCAGAGCCACCAAGCCTCCAGAGATCAGAAAGTTTGAGCAGCATCGTTTGTTGGACCTATAAATATAATGAGTGCTCGACTTCTTGTGGAGCTCCAGGATGCTCTATAACGCCACGGTCATCCTGTCAGTGGATTTCAACAGTCCGGAAGACTTCCTCATCTTCACCTTCCACATTGTTTTCGCCACGTGTGCCGTGCTTGTAGCCGGCTCGGTGATCATCGGGATCACCTCCACTCCATATCTTCGAGCCCAGAACCGCTTCGTGTTCATGCTGAACACGAGCATCAGCGACACTCTGACCGGCTTCTCCGTCTACTATCTGGGGCTCTTTGACGTCCAAGAGGGCTATCCCTCGAGGAATGGGACATACTACATTTTGCCATCTTTTTTAGGTGTCAATGTGTTAACCTTCCTCTTTGCTCAGTTTGACCGCTACTTTGCCGTTTGCCATCCGTTCTTTTACAGTCGCTACATAACGAGATCTGTTGTCATTGTAATCTGTGCTTTCTGCTGGATTTACACATACTTGATTCTCACTGTGCAGAACTTGGTGCCCGTCTCAAAGGCGGCTCAAATAAACGCGTTTGGTGTGATGACTCTACAGGTTATAGTGCTCGTTAAAGTGCTCATGACAATTAAACTGTACATCATAGCCAGGAGTCACGTTGTGAGAGAGGCGCCTAGTGCCGAGAGAGACAACAAGAAGGAATCACTGCGCATCATTGTGTTTGTGGTTATCTGCTTCTTGGCGCTGTGGTGTCCCTCGTTTGTCAATATCATTGTGAGGCAGTTGACTAGAGAAGGTCTCAGGTTTAGGAATGAAGCCACTAACGTGTTCGCCACGATGGCACGCTTAAACGCGCTGGTAACCCCTGCGGTGTACATCTGGGGCAGCCCTGCGCTTCGGAGGGCCGTGTGGAGAACGGTGTGGTGGATGTTCTGTCCCAGGCGCAGTGCAAGGTAAGACGCGGTCCAAGTAGCAAGTGTTACGTAGAATTACCGTATTATGTCAAACAATATGCTGCTTGTGAATAAAAAGACATTTTATCCCTTATCTCCCCTTCTTCGCACCGGCACCCTACCTCTCTCCCGCTTTCTCCCCCCCTCTCTCTCTCTTGCAGGATTGACTTTAACTCTGATGGGATGACAAGCAAAATAAGGCAGCCAACATCAGCATCGTCATAAGTTATAATAAGGATAAAATACTAAGAGCCCATCTGATGGGAAACATGTTGCGGTCACTTTTGAGTTCATGCGTTTTCTCAGTCTCAGTGTTTTGATTTTTCAGACAAAACATAACGAAGCTGTTCTCTTGTTCTGATTCAACTATGTCATAAAAATGAAACTGCTGTGATTCAACTAGATATCCTAAACTAGACAGACTGCCACAGAGCAGTCTATCAAGTTTAGGACAAAGCGTTTAATTTCTATATTTAAAATCTTTGTATTATTTGTTTGTTTGTTTTTACTTATTACTCGCAGTATGCACATTTATTTTTTTTATTGACCGGCATTTGGGATTAGACTGCAAAGGTCTTTGGTCAGTTGTAGGCTACACATCGAATAAACCTTGTCTTGTATCCACAGCCAAAAAGATGGACTCCACTAAAACCTCTGTAGCAAAAAAATAACTTTCACAATCTAATCGTTTAAACTCGAGGCTATAACAGCAGAAAATGTACAACAGGATCCGAATAATCTTTAGGTTTAGTTCATTGATATTTGGATGGAATTCAACATTTCCGACTGGATCCAGCTTCCTGTTCACTGGTGCAGCACATTCAGCACCATGCACGTTCAGCGTCTTGGCGCTGACACCCGTAGGTTCAGCACCAAGGATAGCCCCATAGCCTAGTTTTGTTTTTAAGTCATGGCAGTGGTCCCGATGCTAAACTTTAACTATATTTAGACACAATAAATTAATATTACAAACTTATATTTCGTGGTCAGTTGACCACGAAAGGAAAGGGAAGTCTTTATCACATATGACAATAAGTTTCATCGGACACGTTTTCGTGGTTGTTTTTTATCAACACATGACAACTTATATGTGTCAACGCTGGCGGACTGAGAGAAATAGAGTGAAAAAGAAGAAAACTACACGTTTACTAAAAGGAAAATCAAATTGAATTATTTTATTGTATTGTTTTAAAAATGATAAATATAATGTTCGCATTAAACATCTCAAAAACTGAATTTTAAGTTGTGCACTTTAAATGTGCACTCAATATGAACTTGTAAAAAATAACTGCAGTTTGTACAGTTTGGATACACGTTTTGTATTTGAAATAAATTATTTCAAGGCAGATATTTTAAGTATCTGTGTCCTGATATTTTCACTTTATTATTATAACATTTATTCCTAGATAATCCTTAAATGCTTGTTAATATCGAAGTGGCACAACGTTCGTGGTGAATATGTTTTTCATTAGTGTAAATGAAAAAAAAAACTGTGATATAGATACAGTTATGGAAGCAACTGAGTTGACTCAGCTCACTTAAACATACAATAAAGCTTTCTTTACATACAGTAGCAGTAATCTTCTCAGGAATAAATAGCAACGGTAAGTTTGTCAGTAAAACTGACACAGTTTATTATATGATAGCGGACATTTTGGAGTCTTTTACGTTTGTTTATTGATGTTCTTTAAAGAGTATTGAAGGGACACTTGTCCCATCTGTCAGGCTTTCTGAATAATACGATAATAATAAGAAGAATTCAATTCATTGACATTTTGTCTTTTTGAATTTCCGCTAGGAGACCTCAGGAAAAGTGTATAGCACCAAATAGCTGTGGATAATTCAAATTTACCAAGTCCCTCTCATTCATATGCATTTACCAAGTGATTTACTTTACAATATATGAACTGAGTTTACTGACTTGATTCTTGATTCTTGACTGCTAGTCTGTAGATGTCCACAAGAGGATGATGTATTGCTGGATTTTTCTATATTTTACTGATTATTTCTGTAACACAAAATGTTAAAAAATGTAAACACTTTGCAAGCCAATATTTATGACTTCTTAAAAGCCAAACGAGTGGCATGAATGTCCAATATAAATAAATGATTCACATATTTCTCTGTCCCGTGCTTGCGTTAGAATGTATTTGCATATCTTGGCGACCTTATAGTTCCCCTTTTCTTCCTTTTTCTGATCACTTCTCTTGTGTGCCAACTACTGCTGAGAAATGACCGACTATATGCGTTTTTAAAAATTCAAAGTCTCCTAAATCCATGCTTTCTGTCAACTGTTTTGTCAAAAAACAAATAGCAAAATGCAGTTTATAAAGGGACGTATGTTGGGTGTAATTGAAAAAACTGAACAAGATACGATGTTTGTCGTGTCAGTTAAAATAAACAAATATGATTTAACAGGATTGAAACGTGAGATTAAGCCATGCCTCCTGGGAGATACAGTTTGGCTTTAGCGCAGTGTCTTATTGAGCAGCTCTATAAAAATGTTGTTGTCGGTATGCGTCTCTGACACAATGCTGCTCACCAACATCACTGATTCTCTGACTGCAGGAGTGCCTCTGTCGGTCGACTTCAGCCATCCTGTGGATTATCTCATTTTCATTTTTCAGATTTTATTTGCCACAACTGTTGTTTTCGTAGCAGGACCTATAGTCATTACCATTTTTGCCACCAAAGAGCTCCGCCGACAGAACAGGTTTATTTTCATGCTGAACACCAGCATCTGTGACACGCTCATCGGGTTTTCAGTGTACTATGTCGGTTTGTTTGATGTTCAAGAGGGATATCCATCCAGAAATGGAACTTATAACATGTTAAACTATCTCCTTGGGGTAAATTTAATAACATTTTTGTTCGCGCAATTTGACCGCTATATTGCCGTTTGTCATCCTTTCACTTACTCTCGCTTCATTACGAGGGGCGTGGTGATTTCTGCAAACATCTATTGCTGGCTTTATGTCTATTCTCAGGCGGTTATTTCGATTTTCTTGCCCTTTTCCAAAGCAACACAGCTGTACGTGTTTGGTACCCTAACCTTTCAAATCATAGTGTTCACCAAAGTGGTCATGACTATTAAACTGTATGTTGTTGCCAGGTACCAGCTAGAAAGAGACCCCCCTAGTGCAGAGAAAGAAAGCACCAAGGAATCATTAAGAATAATCGTTTTTGTTGTCATAACCTTCTTATTGTTGTGGTGTCCCTCCTTCATTAACATCGTCCTCAGACTGGTTGTAGGGAGAGGGCTGATATTTAGGAATGATGCTACCAATCTTTTCGCCATCATGGCTCGATTTAATGCCTTGTGCACGCCGGCCGTGTACCTGTGGGGGAGTCCCTCTTTAAGGAAAGCCACGCTGAGGACGGTGTGGAGCAGACTGTGCCCAAAATGCAATAGCAGAAAAATCTTGTTTCAATGAAACAAGTAAAAATACACCTCATCTCATTCATAATGCTTGAGCCAGCCTATAGATTAAAAACAAAATGTTTAAATAAATCGCCACTTTTTAAAAAAAAAATTTCATTAAGGTTAAAGAATCTATTTTTATGAAGGTCAAATTTTTTTACTGTAGCGTTTCTTATTTTGCTCAGGTGACACAGTTGACTGAGATGCGAATATTCACATTTTCTTCGTTTATGATCAACTTTCTGTGTTTTCTAACATGTTTCTGTATTTAATACCTTCTCATTATAAACAGTCTTAGAAATTTTGAAATGTATAAACTCTGATTATTTTTGTCTTCTCATTGGAAGCACGGGGACTCCATACCAGTCGTATGAAATAAATAATTACACTAATGTGAGCTTTTTTTTTCTGCAGCAGGGTTTGTCTCGTTTGTTTCGAATCCTTAGCTTAGTTTGTTTGGTCAACTCTTGGGCTCCGAGTAGCTACTGCATGAATGAATAATGAAAGGCAATACTATGATGACTGTCGCCATTTCTTCCTTTCTCTTTCTTTCAGCATTAGATCTGAACTGAAATAAACATGTGAGTCTTTCATGCTGCGGGTGTAGAAACGACATAATATGCAGAGCGAGTAGATTAAATTGTTCATATCATGTTCAAGTGAAGTAAGTCAATAATATAGCAATGTTAAATATAATGTTAAGTAATATGAAGACAACATGTATTTTAGTGACGTATCTAAGTGATTATTTTACTGGGGTAAAAGCTATTGAATAGTGTTGAAATAAAATGACAAAATTGCGAAGGATTAAAATATTCCAAGAGCTCAACTTTCTTCATCTAAACATGTTTCAATCACGTTTTATCAGCACAAAATGCACAGGTTTATTGTGTGTTGATTTAACTCAGTTGTTTAAGTTTCTGCCAAAGCAAAATATTTGTGTGCAACCAATGTCCACTATTGAATCAAGTAAATCTAACATGGCCTTTTTTTCAGTGTAGTTGTAGTGACGATTCCATTGTCCAAATAAACATCCAACAATCTAAAATCAACAAGCCACTGCTGTGCTGTGTTAATATTTTTTACTCAGGAAAAAGAAGTCCAATGTCCAAAGCTTGAAGGTTGCGTTGCACAGTTCATTTACCCAGTTTGGCTAAACAAAAGATCATTTTTTGTTGTTTCCTGGTGCTTCTCCTGCTCTGGTAAAAAAAAAAAAAAAAAAAACATAGGCCCACCCCAGTGCATGCTGGTCCTATACCAGTCCCTTTACTTATAGAAAATGGCCCAACAGTTCTTCCTGACTTAACAAGATAAACAACAAAACAAAACAAAAAATGAAGCACGTATTAAACTACAAAAAACCTCTATATAACCCCAAAATATAAGTAAACCAACAACAAACTTTAACAAATTTGAAAATAGCAAAATTAAATAATAAATAGCTCCAACACTAGTAATAAAGTTTACATTAAATTCTGGGCTGACAAAGAAGGCGGTTGCAAAATGAAAAACATAAAACCTTTTGTTTTTAAAAACTTCCCTTCATTTGATCCCAGCGAAACAAATACACAAGCAAAAGAAATAAATGCAAAAGAAAAAAGAAAAAGAAAAAAAGAGAAAAACGACAAAGCGAAAAATCTGAAATGAGCAATGCTTTCTGACTTTGCTGCAGCTGATGCTAAAAGTGCATATCCCGTCAGTGCTAGTGGCAGCTGGCCCACAGTCACACACGAAAGGACGAAGTAGCCGCCATGATGTCACCGGTAGTGAAGTCCTATCTTTATAACATAACTGTAAAATCAGACTGCAGGCCAGTTCATTAACAACTTGTGACTGACAAGTCATACGCCCTGATTAATCCTGACTCAAGTTTACGAAATTAACTTCATGTCGTCATTATAACCTGAGTTTAAGTATTTTCGAAATAAAAGCATGAGGCAAGATGTTCTCTTTAACTACTGGATAAAGTCTATTTGCAATCTGGAGATCTGCCCCTGGTGGCGATTTAGAGGAATACATGTTTCAATACTTAGATGAATTAAACAAGAAACGGAGTGAATCTAGAGGCCACAGAGAGAGAACTTCTACTCTTATTCCAGCGTGCAGTGTAATATTTTTAATAAATACACATATAATTTTGAAGTAGACTGCAATAGGTCAAGGCCACAGTCAATATAAAACAGCAGCTAAAGGTTAAGTCATGGTATTGCATTTACATTTATATGCAAAAGTCTGACTACAAAAACGGAAGGATGTCCAGGCATGCAAAAAGCTGTGGGTTATTGTTACCAGAGGTTTATACTGAAACCAGCGTGAGACCTTACCTCACCCTCTCATGCGATCTATTACGGGAGATGTGAGTGGGGGGTGAGGTGCCTGAGAAAAGATCTCAAGGCTGCATTTTAAGTGGGTCACTTTAGATTAAATCTATAGCCTGCGGTGTGCTGGTGTGTAAAAGCACAATATCAAAGAGCCAGTCAGGGCCAACGTAGGCTGCTTTGACTTTTATAGCATCTACACATACCTACAGTGTAGATTTAAGGAGATAATTTAAAGGTCTCTTATATGGGATTTATACTATGCTCAACAACCATAACAGCGGCTTAATGCTTCCCCCTCTTAAACAGATGATGGAGGTCACAAAATGCTCACTGATAAAATTCTGTTACGTTATACGGATTATGAATGCAGGGAGTTGTCCACTATAGCTGGACACACATTCCAAAAGCCCATCACCGCACTTGGGCTCATTAAGGAAACCTGCATACATTATCAATTACTTTATCTGCTTGTTTTTTTTTTTTTACAACAGTTCCATTAGGTTGAGGACCAAAACTCGCCAAATCGCTATAAAACCATTATATTCTTCTGATAAATAATTATTATAATCATCTGATAAATGGTTTAGCTATATAGGGGCCAAAAAACAAACAAAACACACGAGTAGAGTTCCTTTGTCATCTCATGAGATTAATCCTGTGACTTCATTGCGCACATAAGAGTGTTCTCAAAAGCCACTTGCGCATAAACAATGCGCCTCTCTAACGTGACAGAATCTTTGGGCAGGGCTGTGCCTCTGTCGGTGGACTTCAGTAAACCCGAAGATTATTTCATCTTCATTTTCCAGATTTTATTTGCCACAACCACTGTTATGACAGCTGGAACAGTAGCCATCGGCATCTTGTCCACCAGAGCTCTGCGCATTCAAAACAGATTTATTTTCTTGTTAAACACTATTGCTGACACGCTTATCGGGTTTTCAGTGTATTATCTCGGTCTGTTCGATGTCGATTTGTCTAGAAACGGAACCTACTCTGTTTTATCTTCCCTTTTAGGCGTTAATGTATTAACGTTTATGTTCGCGCAATTTGACCGTTTTTTTTTGCTGTGTGCCACCCATTTATCTACAGCCGCTTCGTAACGAGACAATGTGTGATATGCGCTAATGTTTACAGCTGGGTTTACACTTATGGCCACTTGATCATCAGGAATATGCTACCCCTTTATCAAGCTATACAAATGTATTTAGTCACCATTCTCATGTTTCAAATCATAGTGCTTGTCAAAGTGGCCATGACATTGAAATTGTATCGCATTGCTCATTGCTTGAAAGAGATCCTCCCAGCGCCGAGAAAGAAAGCAAGAAGGAATCTTTGAGAATAATCACTTTTGTTGTCATAAGCTTCTTGGTGTTGTGGTCTCCAGCTTTTGTGAATATTACAATTAAATTAATGACAGGAGGAGGTTTGAATTTTAGAAATGAGGGCACCAATTTGTTCGCCATCATGGCTCGTTTCAATGCCTTGTTCACACCATCTGTGTACATCTGGGGGAGTTCGGCTCTGAGAGAAGCCGCGATAAAGACTGTGTGGGGGAAAGTGTGCCCTAAATGCAGCAGGAGGTAACTGACACAATGCGCAGCTAATTTATCATTTTACCTCTGTTGTTTTTTTAATCCAGATGATGCAGTCAATACTCATTTCAATTCTCTTTCCTTCAGAGTCGCCTCTTTTCCTGTGAAGTCGTGTGTCAACAGGTGTAGTCCTGCCGGGACCCACTGATGCGACTTTCTGACACTTCTTTTTTTCTCTCCAAATGGAGGAAATAAAATATGCACATTTAGCTTAATCGCTTGAATTTCATTTGACACTTTAATAGTATTTAATGCAATAGCATTAATAAATACAAACTTTTTTCTACAGTTGTTATCGTAATATTAAGGGTCTGATTTAGCAAAGGTCTGCGCCAGCCCCAAACCCTCTTTTGGCATCAAGTAAGCTCCTGTTGGGGTTTAAGAAGAGGAATGGGGTCCGTTTTAAGTTTAGAGTCGCCCTGTGATAGCTGGAATAGGCTGTCAGCCCCCCCGGGTTGTACAAAATAAAAAATAAAAAAAATACGTAAATGACGCAGTTAGGAATAACCTTAATACACAGACGGTAACAAATGTATGTGTTCATCTGCACACTTTGAGGTCAACTAAAACTTCAGCTTTAACTCTGTACATACTTTTAAAAACTGTAACATTTAGAAACAAAAACAGTTCAAACGTGTATGTTCAGGCGAGTACGTGCGACCGATATGCTGCGTTAACCAAATAGCGGCAGATTTAACAAAGACAACGTTGACTGAAAGGAAAAAGGGGATTTTGTTTTGTCCCTTTTTTTTTTTTTTTTTATTTTTTTTTTTTTTTGAAGGGTAAAGAAACTTTATTTGGTCGACAAATAAAATAAAAAAGTACCTTCCACATCAAATGTGAGAAGATTTTAGAGAAAAATTCTGGCCAAACCGAGTTCCAGAATCTCAATCAAGTTGTTCTAGTGGCACATTTATAGTTCACTAGAATAATAGTATAAATAACTAGCACAGCAGTCTATGGTCTACACTGAAGGTATATACTACTCCTTTATCAAGCTATACAAATGCACATGAAACACTATGCCGCTCATTTATTAGTGTGCCTTAAAAAATACTGATGCGGTCAATGCTTATTTAAATGGTCTACTATACAGTCTGCTCTTTTCCTGTAAAGGTGAGTACCATTAAGTAATAAATGTAACAAGGCCAGCAAGGACTCCACTCAGGGTGAACGGTCTTGGCGGTGGCTGCACAAGTGAAAATGAACAGGAACATATCAATCATCGGATATACGAACTTTGGGAGGAGAGGATTTCAATTAATCATGGGTCGAACAGTTTGATGCCAAATTTAACACTGGAAAAAGAAAACAGCATGATCTATTTTTTCCGTTGTGGGATTTATGATAGCCAAAGTATTCATTTATTTGAAATAAGACGGGGGCGATGTTATCAGAGTGCGTAACTGTGACGCGTGAATGAATCACAGCTGAGTCCAATGCCAAAACCTTTGGCTGAACCGAACTGAAGGGAACGTGAGGAACGAGGGGAATCCTGGCACAAGCCTTCTTGTTTTACATGTAGGCAAGCTGCTGTTTACAGTGAGCCGAGTAGTCTGCAGCGTTTACAGTCTATACAGAGATCAGCGCATAATCGGTAAATGTCTCTGCCTGTATTTACTGAGCAGTGTGCGCACACGCAGGGACACAATCTCATATACCATTGATACCATACGTCAAGAAAAATGCAGGTAGGGCCTAGTTAGTAATTTAAATTAATGTATGAATGTCTCAACATGTAACACTGACTTTCCTAAGTGCCTACAGTTTCAAACACCCTGCAAAAATAGCACTGCTGATATTTATGCATTTCTTCATAAACACAGCCTGATCTGACTGATTTTTAAAAAAATATTATTTCCATCACCTATTTATAGTAAAGGTCAGGTGTTACACAATTTCTGCTTCATATGGCTGGGATCGTTTATAATACAGCAGCTCTGCTTCAGATAAATGTGCTCGATCTGAGTCACAGTCCATCAGGACTTCACAAAGCCCCCAGCAACTTCTAATAGAGGAGTTTTTGGTAGAATGCTGACTATTATTGAAATGAACCAACTGCGTCTTTGTTTCTAAACTAGCACATTGTTAGTACACCAGCCGCAAAACTGACGCCAGCCTATCCCATCTAATAAATATGGGCCGTCAGTGGCTGATGGAGTGGCGCCTGTGCAGATTCTTTGCGGCCTGTAAACTCATCAGGGCAAGCCAAAACAGGCCTTGGGCCAATCATTAGTGTCAGTCTGAGTCATTATGTGTTCATACATCCAGTCCAATTACGCAGACATTTTTTTCCACATGGGTGTCAATTGCACAGCTTACACATCCTTACCATCATCTCTGGTTTGACAAAATATCCTTTTCCCCCCTGAGTGCTGAATTTTGGTGCTGATTTTTATTTTTGTCACCATGGCCACTGCCACTTTAGTTGTATGTGGTATTCTGATTTCATTAGATACACAACAATGGAGTATTATTTCTTCACTAACCTGGAGTGCTGCTTTGCTCCATTGTCCAAAGCACTGTAACTATTTGCTGAACTAGAGCATCTTTACTTTAAGCTGACCAGGCAAAACTTTTCATCCCAAATTAGTGTTGGTATTTATCTTCTGGCCAACAAATAAAGTCTTTACAACCTTAAACATACAACTTTATTTACAAAGACTATTCAAATCAGGACATTCTTAAAAATAAAATACAGGATAATGTAGTGGCAATTATTTTCACGAGGGTGAACTCTGACATGGTGTTTCCAGAGCAGTCAAAGCTCTCTTTAGAGCTTTACAATAGCTGCCTTCCAGTTAACTTTGTGCAGATTAACATGTCTTTGCAATATCATCACAATGTCTATTATTATTTTCAGCAAGGCTATTCGTGGCATCTCATGCTTTTAATTTTCATCAGTCCTGTTTACCAAAACTACAAACAAATGTGTCAGTGAACTAACTAAAATGCACAGACAAAAGGCACTAAAATATCAAACAAGTCAATTTTTCTTTTTTAAATTGAAGTTTCTACTTATCCATAATGAGAAATTTTTTTTTTCCATTCACACAAGAGAACCACACTGTTACAAGCTGATGCACATAAACAGGAATGTAATGGCCTGGTTTTTCCCCCCTGCAGTTTCGACTATTTGATAAAACAGAAGGAAGGTCGTTTCTGTTTCTCAACATTTTTTCACAGTTTCGTAACCAAAACGACATACAAAGCATCTGAACACAAGTTCCTGGAGACTGTTTTCCTGGACACACAAGTTTAGCTAAGCACTAAGAATGAGCATGCAGGTTTCGTTTATTATTTGATGATTTGTTCCAGGTTCAGTGGCTAAACAAGTTTCTCCCATACTCTACAGGCTCTGAGTGCAATCATTCTATATGTTAGATTTAGTGACTTAGCGCAGGTGCACGTGCCAACCATAATCAGAAATGTCCTTGTGAGGCTTCAGATTTAGTTGCAATTTACATGTTGTGCACCAATGACAGAAACTGTTTATTGGATGAATTTGTGAGTGAGTCATTTCTACCAAAGAGTCCAAGGAGGCTGCTTGAATGGAAACGAGGCCAAAGCAGAAACATTGACAGGAATTGAAATGACAGCCCAAGGCAGTGCTTGTCTCTGAAGAGATCTTCTGATCATCATCCTAAAAATACAGAAAGAGGAAATGGTGTCCCTGCTTGTCATAGGATAATTGCTCGAATGCAACAGAATTTAT